CATAGCTAATATATTTCTACACCCATTCATCATTTCGATTCCCCCCATATATTTACACATATTACACACACACACATATATGTATTTATCGTATATATTTATAAACATGTATATATTTGTATATATATAGGTTGTAGTTGTAAAATGTATTTGTTATATAATTGTATAATAGTTCGTGGTACCTCTTCTATGTATTCTTTTGTTTTAAGTTAATGCAATACAGAATAAATAAAAAAAATTGCCAATTAAGTTGGATATTTGCCGTAGTTGCCACGTTTGCCAGGTGAGGTGCCAACTGCATATTTTTATTATTTTAAGTTGTAATCAGGAAAACGCTGTAAGTGTGAAGAAACATGTTTCAGATCCAATTTGTCCCAGGTAAACATATTCGTCAACAACTTTGAGTGTCGTGTTCCCAACAACTAACGGTATAAGTGTCCCATGGACGTTACACGGAACCTATCCCTTCGAAGATACTAGTCAAGCCATTGTCCATAATGTTATTAAAATCTGATACGGATTAAAATTAAACTTTTAACGACTAAAAACTTGTTTTTTACTGGGGTACTACCTGCATACGTTCTATTTTTCTTTCGTTCTATAAAGTGTGACAAGACTATCACCCCTGTGTTACTTTTTGTAGATGTCCATTGTCTTTTATTGTAGTCGGTATAATTTAAAGCTATGAGTGTTGCTCGCATTTCAATTCAATGTAATACAAATAAAATTGATCGGTTAAAAATGTACTGCATATAGCATAATCCTTGCGTTATAATAAAAACATCATCAATTACATTAAAATATCTCTAATAATAGCCTTCACTTTACAGAATCTCAAACAATTAGGTTATATGATACAAGTACCTCGTATGTCAGGATGTATGTACGATTATATACAACAATTGAATCACCTTCAATCAATGCCAAATTTACACTATTTGCATTTATTGGGTATGCAGCAAATTCTGTAATCACGTAGATATCTGTATCAGAGCTCGACAGCAGGCCTTCATTTGCAGGATGTCACCCTTGACAGATAACTAAGACAAATAGCTGGAGTTCATTTCACTACACACGTGCAACGAAAACAGGCAACTTCTTTGAATGCATAAACTTTAGTTAATTATTTATACATTTCTTAACAATAAAATGGTATCGAAAAACTGACATAAAGAGTACAGTAAAGAAACGAATTGATTCGTTATGTTTACTAGAGTTGACAGAGCAAAATTTTCTGTGCTCACCAGAGGTATGTTAGCCAAGTGATTACGAAATCTAAACGTGCGTCGCATTTGTAATGAATAACGTTTTGTCCAGTTCGTTAGTATGTGTAGCTGAGATTTGTTGTTGAGGAGAAAGATTTTGTTTACCCTTACCCTTCTTAGCATACCCTTGTATTAAGAGATGAAAACATTAACTTAACCTCTTTAAGCTAATTGGTTTTTTTATTACCAGACCGTCAAAGAAATATAGACGGAGCGCAGCACCTTCAAAAATATTTAAATGTAATTAAATTGACGTCGAATCAAATTTTGCACACATCTTTTTTAAGATACCATAAAAATCCACTGCTGGACGTACACATATGCACACGTTGTTCGTTGCAAATGATTTTAGATACAAATGTTTGCGATAGTACGTGTTCTTGCAATAAGTTAATTATGATTTTGCTTGATTTCGGCGCCATTAGAAATGTGCGTAGTGTAACTTCTTTTATTGGTCTAAGTTGAAATCAAATGTAAAAAAATGTTTTAGGGGAAAAAGTAAATTGAGAATCAAAGCAAATCTTACCCCAATCCATCAGTGGGTTGTTATTTTCTAAGCCGTTCCTATCGTATTTAGTTCTAGTCTTCTTACTAAACTTATACTTTCATCATCTACCAACACATCCACAAATATATATATATATATATACATATATACAACAAAATCCCCACACTCACATTCACATTGTTTAATATACACTTACAAATTACAATTTTTCTAGAGGTTTATAATAGACTTTTTGTAATCCTATTATCTTTAAGGGAAGTAGGGGGTCATTCCCGACACGAGTATCATCTGATTACTCACTGGAAAGTCTCAGCATTATGTTGTAAACAAGATTACCGAAATAAACGCATTATTTATTTATTTCTTGTGCATTTTTGCGTTTTTACTTCATCGTTAAACTCGTTCGAATAATTAATGTAACAGCTTTTCAATCTTGACAACCGTAAGTCCCAAAGAAATTCCACTGACTCAAATCGAATACCCGTCGCGCATTTTCTTACAAATGAATAAGATTTAGATTTGCATATCAAAATTCTTCCGAGTTTGTTGAGATATCACTTCGGATTATAATAAAGATAGATTACGGACGGATGTCTCTCTTTTAGTCAAGTAAATTCAAGTGCAAGGAACGTTGATTGATAACTATAAAAATGATATTCGTACTTTATTTATCTAATTGAAATGTCGTTTGGAAAATTCAATCTAGCTTAAAATATTTTATGTTTGTCATTTATTTTATTTTAAATTATCATTCTTTCTTTACTATGCGCCTTATCTATACTTATATTTGACCCTAATGAAATATACTAAAATAATTGGAAGCTAACTAGTATTGAATACTTATACCTTATATTGGCAGTTGTTTCGTATAATACTTATTTTTATAGAAATTAACAGCTGTTTTTCATCGTCATAATTGGTTTTATCAGTCTGTCTGTCTGTCAGGGCTTATCTTCGAAATGGACGAAGTTATGAAAATATAGAAGCAGATAGAGAGCAATGCCAGCATACCTAATAATGATATTTTTATGAAATCGAAAAACTGACAAAATAATTTGTTTTTGATACTTTTAAAATGTAGAAACTTTTCCAACCACACTTTTTTGGTGTGCAATTTTACACAAAAAGTTCCTCCTGCTATTTCATTTATTTTTAGTATTAAATCGATTTGTATGTAACAATTTTATTTTTCTTAAAAACTTTTTGTACTCATTGACCATGGATAGATGTGTAGAATAAATGGAACCGCTAAGTGGCGCTCACTTCAAATCTAATTTCGACCAGCTAAAAAATCTTTTGCAGTTATTTTAATGACAGTGGTTCAAATTAAATTATAACTTTAGATGCTACTCTTCGTTACCAAACAGATTATTTAGATACCTGATATATTTAAATTCTTCTATAAAAAAATCTAAAGTAACACGAACTGCAGTGGCAGTGGCTACTGCAGTCTATAGAATCCTGCAGTCAACTTCCAAAACAAGAAGGCTACGAAAGATGCGTTGTCACCTCTAAGGATTTAAAATGAAAGCTAATATACCTCGAAATGATAGCGATAGTGACATCTACATTTATCCTCAATAGAGAATCAAAATGCAGATGCGTCACCCGTGAGAACTAAGATGGAATGCCTCTTTTCCAGTAAAATGAGTCTCCGGTTTTCTCTACACTCAACATACTCAACACAGCATTGTCAAGCTGCCCTTTTACGCTGGTATTCTATGAGGGCGTGGACCTTCCCCGGTCGAGCCGACCCATTCGTGCTACAACTATACTCCTAATATAGCTGCAGTATGGCTCTACCACGACTTCTTATATTTACGCGAAGACTACACATTGAATGAATCTAATTTTTTGAGATTTTATCGCGTAATTTAACTTTTTAATTCCTGACGTTTCGGGTGCTTCACAGCATCCATGGTTACGGGGGCTGAGGTGTTTGACGTCCCGATATCATTAGTTAGCCCGGCTACCTTCAGTTTTTGAATTAATTTTAGTCCGATTTACGCAAAATGAGCTTACAGTATCTTGAAGCGAAATGTCGGAAATTAAAAAGTTAAATTAAACGCGATAAAATCCGTAAAAATTAGTTTCATTCAGTGTATCAAAGTTTAACAATATAATATAATTAAAATGAGAACATCATCAATGTAGTCAAAGTTAATTAAATACGCATTATTAAGGATTACCCAAAAACTACTGGTCGAATCTTGATCAATATCATACGAGACCACATGAGAAGCACCAGATTTCAAACAAAAAAAAGAATCATCAAAATTAGTGCATCTAGAAAAGAGTTCTGAGGTAACACACAAAAAAATACAATCGAGTTCTCCTTTTTAAGAAGTCAGTTAAAACATTTACGTCAGGTTTTTTCAAAACTCTTCATCATTCTAACTTTTTGAAGCCTTTGGGCTGGAATTGCTCGCTTATTGTCGACATCGTAGTCATTATGAAAGATCACGACAGTAGAAAGTAATGACTTGTTAATTATTGCGTACTTTTTCAATCAATGGTGCGTTACTCTAGAAACAGGAACATCTTACACAGCCCGCGTCCCACATCCGCAAAGAGGGTCGTAGAATCATAGTTGTTGACGAATATGACTACTTCACGCGGTTAACTCTTACTTACTCCATAACCATCATAATAAGAAGAGGATTTCTCATTAGTAACAAGTTGGAGCAACAAATTAAGTGATTATAAGTAGACCAGAAAAAAAAATATTTTTTAGAATAAAAGACATGATGTTAACTTGCAACTCCAGTTAACGGTTTCGTTTTTAATGCATACAACGTATTCGAAAGTAATCATCATTCGTAATAAACCGTTTCATCCAACGTGATGGAAGAAAATATAGTGCGCATGTTATGATAATATGTATATGTTTAACACATATTACAGGTACCAAATCAAAGAAGCAGTACCAGTAGTAATATTACATTTCCTTTTAAGTTGTAATGAATCAAACACTTAAAGCTAATAATGTAACACCAGTGTAACAATGAATTACGAGTAATTCCTCATAACCGATGTTTTTTCTTAACGCCATCTATTATTTTCTCTAAGCAACGTCTGTACTACTCAAAATAAAAATTGTATAATATTACAAACTCCTAACAGCAGATGCATGATTAAACTTTAAAAAAAAACAGATACATTCATAAAATCTGATAAAATGTGGCGAATCCCCAATTTCTAGGGACACAAAAACCTATTACTAAGACTTACCCTAGAGTCTTCGTACTGATGAGAGGTGTTTTTAAGTTCAGAAACCCGTTAAGCCTTGTACCATTTTTCTCTCTGCCACTGTCCGCACCCGACTGATCGATCCTAAAACAAGAAGAATACCAAATTATTCACATTTTAAGTACTATTATTTCTATTTCACATATTTAGGCTTAGAGTATAATCGATGGCAGCAAAGTAGAAACGGACATCTACATTTTTATGAAAATGCTTTTTTTACAAAAATTAGGTACCTTAAATCAACCCTATCTACAAGTCTGTATTAATATTATTTCAAATTTCAAAATAATAAAGAAAATCTGGCACGTAAATGAAGACATCTACCCTCGATTTTAAAAAAAAAACATCGCAGTAGAAACGGACATATGAATTTGTCCGCCTGGTAGGTAACTCATTAATTGATAATGAATAAAATGTTAAATGCAAAGTAAATAAAGATATCTGCAAAATTTCGTCAAAAATGGGGAATACTGTTTGCATGTTGCTTAGATTTTCTTTAAATATCATTAAAACTATTAATGGAGATTGTTATCTTAGATTATTACACATTTTAAATGAAATGGACGCTTTTTTATCAACGTATAAACGGATATCAGGCAGATGTCTAATTTTACGTCAAAGTTTTTAGAGTAAAAAAGACATCTAAATTATTTTAGTAAAACAACGACATAGCGATAAAAACTATTACATAATTCATAAAAAATGCTATTTTAATGCTTCATAGAAAATTTCATATTAATCGGTCAACAACTTTCAAAATGACCACAATTTTTTACTAAATCTGCTCTCCTGTAAAATTGCGATTTTGTAGATGTCCGTTTTTACTTTGCTGCCATCGATTACAAAAGCAATCTGCGCTTTTAAGTAACTTTCTATACAAAAGTGCGCCATCTTTGGATATTTTCGTTAACGTACGTGAAAGTTAGAACATCAAAATGTCGTGAAATTTCAGAACAGTGTAGAGATGGCGTTGTTCGTATATTTAACAACGCCATCTCTACAAATGAGTACATTTTAATGTAAATCAAAGTATCTTCTACATTAAGGTATTCAAGTACTTATTATAACATCGCGGTTCCATTTATTCCATCCATCCATATATCCATCCATGCTGAACATTTTCTCTCACAGATTGCCCAGAGTTCCGTAATGTGCATCTGTTTAAATGGGCCACATCATCATAACTGCTAGAGTTTTGACATAATTATGTAAAATTTTGGTGTGTTTATTTTACAATTAGTCATTAATTTTAAGATGAGAAATTAAAATAAAAATCAAGGCGTAAATAGTTTTTTATTTAACACGTAGAGTAATGTGTTTTAAAAAAATTACGTAGTAGAGCCATGCTACATCATTATTATAGTTGTAGCACGAATGGGTAGATTCGACCACGCTCTCACAAAATACCAACGTAAAATAGCAGCATAACGCTGCTGTGTTTCGTAAAGTGAATGCACAATAGAGAACTGAAGACCCTTTTTTACTGGAAACGAAACATTGTCATCAGGGATCACAACGATCTGCATTTTGATTCTTAATCAAGGATAGATTAAGATGTCTATAGGCCACAGCATAAACCTACCATCATGTGGTCTTTATGCACGTTGGTATTTCTTATTCTATATAAAAAATCTATTCATAAAAATAATAAATATAATAATAATAATCTGTAAAATTCTGAACAATTTTACTTTTAAACTTCGGAAAATATTAAATATTATCTGCAAGGATACGTGTGTTTTAATCCGTTCCTAGCTTCTATTTTTTCAATTTTAAGTAATTTACAGGCAATATGGTTACTGGTTAAGACAGAAAAATAGTTACATTTCGAACATTTTTAAAAGTAATTTATATGTTACTATTTATATATAAGCATGATGTGTGTTACTTGTGACTTCCTGTAGCATCCGATTGACTGATTTTGTAGTGCAAAGTGACGTTCGATTTGCATAATATCATATAATATTTTATAGTAATAACTAGCTGACCAGGCAGACGTTGTTCTGCCCTTTTCGACGACCCTTCATATAAAAAATCCTTAAATTAGTAATAAAAAAATTTTGAGTGTCACTTATCAGGATAAAAACTATCCTGTCTCTCAAGTTGGACCAAACTGCACAGCTGAAGTCAGTTCAGTAGTTTAGGAGTTCATCGCGGACAAACAACGTGACCCGTAATTTTTATATATAAATAAAGAAGATAACAAAATGACGGAAAAAGCAATAATCATGTTTGTTTGTTTATTTAAAAATATTATAATAACAGGCGGATGTCCATGTAATTGTGGGATTTTAATGGGAATTGAGTGATATTTTGCAACAGTAGAGAATCGAAGAATTCTATAAAAGTTATTTTCATCGTCTAAAAAGACGTGGTAGAGCTATGCTGCAGCTATATTAAGGGTGTAGCACGAATGGGTCTGCTCGACTGGGGAAGGTCTACGCTCTTACAGAACACCAGCGTGAAAAAGAAGCTCCGTGCTGCTGTGTTTCGTAAGGTGAGTGTAGTTACTGGAGAGGAGTCATTCCATGTTAGTCCTAAGGGGTAACAATGTATCTGCATATTGATTCTTAATCAAGGATAGATGTAGATGTTTTGTACGTGGTATAACCATGCTGCAGCTGTATTACTGGTATAGTTGTAGCACACATGGGTCGGCTGTGAATATCAGCGTAAAATATCAGCTTAACGCTACTGTGTTTCGCATGGTGAGTGTAGAGAACCGGAGACCCGTTTTACTGGAACCGAGGCATTCCATCTTAGTCCTCACGTGTGACAACACATCTGCATTTTGAGTCGTAATCGAGGATATGTCTATGGGCCACAGCAACCACTTACCATCACCAAAAATTTATCCCAAACAGAGTTAGTAGTAGAATAAAAAAAATTGTTATCTAAATTGTTTGATATCAAGTTTGCCCATCTTCGTTAGCAATTCTTGACAATACCACTTCTGCTTTAGTTGTTGTGTGGAATTTCAAGATGCATGATAAACAATTTCGGCATAGTCCGTGACGTAGTGGCTTAGCAATGAGTTGCTGCGCTGGGGGGCGCGGGTTCGAATCCCGCACGGAACAAGTATTTGTATGGCGTACAAATAATTGTTCCGGGTCTGGATGTTTGTCCTTGTGAAATTTGTGTTTGTAAACTGCCTCCACGATACAGGAGAAAATCCTAGTGTGGAGGTAACGTTTTTTTAAAAAAAAAATAAATAAAAAAAGAACAGTCACATGCCAGCTACTTTTGCAGCAATTGCATCTCATGGATACATGTAGCTAAATTCTAAAACGAAGGCATAAAAATGCATGATCATCTACGGTTCCTTTACAGCCTATTAATATAATATGGGTTGACTGATAGAGAATGCCACAAGGCATTAAGTCCGCCCTTTGTATTCTTTTAGGTTAAGGAATGCAATAAAGAATAAATAAATAAAAAATATCCACTGATGAACATAGGCCTTCCCATAGATTGTCTTATAGAAGGTTTATTTGCCATAGTTATATAGTGTGGCTCTTGGCAAACGGGTGGGCATCCGCAGTATTTTATTTATAGTGATTACTATAGAGACACTGCTGCCCCTTTCCTGATTTGTTACCCTCTGTCTCCTCTTACGACACCCACGGGATGATGGTGTAAGAATATCCAATACCCTATATTGGATATTCTTACACCGCCACTACATAGTCCTGCATGTTCACATACTATTTGGACTAAAATACTTTATAGTTACCCACTTTGTAATACTATTCTGGCACTGAAGAATTATGGTTTAGTCAATCTTTTCTGAATTTTGAATCATTGCATATTCTAAGATTATAATTATTATAGAATTATTCTACAAATTTAAGCATTCTAAGAGACAAAAACTTTGTCTTTGTCTATGAAAACTTTGATAAAAACGGTGGTGTAAACTTGACGCAGGTTTTCCACTTGATATTTAAAAGTTATATTAAAAATATGAAAGTAAAATTGTTGCTTATATAGTTTGGTATAAATAAAATGCAACAAAAAATATTTTATTTTTATTTTATTGTTCAAATCGGAAATAAGGATCAAAATTTTATTGGTAGGTACGAAATAAAATTTGCCTTCATTAATTATTCACCTCATGTCACAGTTTCCTTCAATTTGGAAATTGGGTTTCTATTCAGTCATCCTCTCAGGAGGCTGTAACGAACCCAATTTCAGACACTGAACGTAATTGACTGATGGTAATGAAATCATGTTTATGACAGCTTCCTTTATTTTTAAATAAAATAACAAATTCTCTAATTAATTATATTGTAGATAGGACGCCTATATATCTAACGTATGCAAAATTTGCATTTGCGGTCTTATAAAATGGTGAATATAATTTGATTTTACGCAGACAATTGCGACGGTAGATAAGTTTTTAAGTAGTAAATGTAAAAATAATAGACTTTTGTTTCAGTTTCATTTCTAGATCTTTATACATCAAGAAAAATAGAAGAAGTGTGGAAACATAAGGGTGATTTGCATGTGATGTTGTGAACGTAATTAAGAAAGAAACGGTTCGGTAGTTTGGACACGTAGAATTATAAATGATGAAGCATACCTTCATCATTTATAATTCTACGTGTCCAAACGTGTCAAAGCAAATTTTTATATTATTATTATTAAGTGGGTGGCAGAGCAGCAAAAGACTCACCAGGCGGACGTTTATTAACCATAAAGGCGACATATTGAAGACAGAGCAAATTAAGAACAGCATCTGATTTCTTATTATTATTCAGTTTTTGCATAGATCGAACCATAAATTAATATTCAAAAACTGAAGGTAACCGGGCTAACTATGACATCGGGACCTCAAACATCTGAATCCCCTCCGTAACTATGGGTTGCTTTAAAACACACGAAACGTCGGGAATTAATATAAGTGAAGTAAACGCGATAAAATCCGTAAACATAGTTTTATTCAATAAGAGTACTCTCAACTGACGAGCATATATGCGTAGATATTTGATGTTAATGAAGCAAGAGAGGTGTTAAATGAAACTGATTTTACGGATTTCATCACGTTTAATTTTAACTTTTATCATTAAATGCTGGTTAAGTTATAT